GCCGGCGCTCGGGACGCGCACAGACGAGCCCGGGGCCTGCAGCTGCCACCGCCGCCAGGTAAGCGCCCCCAGCGGGCCGGGCCGGGCGGGGCTTGCGGGCCCGGGCTGCAGCGGGGACAGCCCTAGCCTGGGCCCAGGATGAGCAGAGCCAGGACCCATCTGGAGCCCGCGCCCGTGGCGCGGCCGGGCCCTGCAACCTGGAGGACCCTGCCCGCCGCCAGAGGCGGCAGCCGCTTCCCCCGACCGCCGCCTGGCGGGCCCAGTCCGCCACCCCACCCCGCCCCCGTCCGCCGAGCCCTTCCGCCGCCGCCACCCGCGGCTCCCAGGCCAGCTGGGCACGCTGCTGTCCTCTCCGCACGGGTTGGGACGGGCAGCCGCCCTCGGCGACAGCCAGCGGCCCCCAGCCCGGGTACGGATAACGGTGCTACTTCTCCCTGCTGGGACGGCCTGTCAGCCTGACTGTCCCCGCCGCCTGAAGAGCTGGCGCCGTCATGGGGTTAGACACTTCGCGGGACGACCTTCTTGGGCAACCCTCGGTCCCCACCCCTCACCCCACCACCCCACCCCGCGCGCCCCCACGCCCGGGTGAAGGTTTCTCTTGGAGCATGCTGATATTCCTGCTCTGGAGTTGGGGTCCTCAGGGGGTGACCAGGCCCGTTGGTTAGGGTGGAAATTGTCTCTCCTCAGCGGTTCTTCCTGTCAGCCAGTGGGTAAAAGGCTCAGTGTGACCCGAGACAGGACAGGGGAGCGTCTGCTGGACAGATGGCCTGCTGGCCTTGGATCAGCGTTTGTGAGGGGGAGGGGTCCGTCTGACTTTAGGTATGCCTGTTCCTGAGAAACGCAGGATTATTGGAGCTGTTCAGGGATTTTTAACCATTTTTGAGTAGGCTGGAGGCAACATTAAAAGTCCTGGATTGGGATAAATCCACAGGCCCATCCAGGGAAGCATGTTTGGCATCCAAGACTAGCAAAACATGGGACTGGCGGTAGAAGAGAACTTGGAGGATAAGAAAAGGACTTGGTAGGGGCAGGCGGAAGGCAACTTGAGGTATTTGGCCTACCCTTTGCACGTTTGTATTTGTGTCCCATGTACATGTGATGTCACAGAGGATGTCGACAGTTGCCTGACCTGGTGGGTGCTTAGTAGGATTTCATGGGTTTGTTTCTTCAACTTCACAAGCATGTTACACAGCAAAAGAGGAGGAAGCATGGTGGTGGTGCATCGATTTTCACTGTTTTCCACATTTTCCATGGGTTATGGCTTTGATTCATTTAGTCATTTTTTACTGAGCATTTATTATGTGCCTGGCACAGAGCTAGGTGCTGAAGCAGCAACACACCATATTTTAGGTTGTGGAGGTCTTAGCTTATAGGAAGAGTCTGATAATTAAAAATGTATTCAACAATAAATATTTGTCAACAAGTATGTGTCAGGCATTGGCTCTAGATCAGCGGTTCACAACCTGTGGGTCACGACCCACAGGAACTGTATTAAAGGGCTGGAAGGTTGAGAACCACTGCTCTAGATGCAGTGAACAAAGCAAGCAAAAATAATTGCTCGTGTCAGGGGAGAGCAAAAAATAAATAATGAAAATATAGTCTATTAAAAACTTCTAAGAGCTGAGGAGAAAAGACGGGAAAGGAGAATCTGAAATATCAGGGGTAGGGGTTGAATTTACATTGGGGCGGCTTGGGAAGGCTTCCTAAGGAGTTTTTCTTTTTAAATTTTTAATTTTTTTTACTCTTTAAAAAATCTTTGTTTTCTTTTAGAGATGGAGTCTGGCTCCTGCTCAGACTGGTCTCAAACTCCTGCTCTCAAGAGATTCTCCTGCTGTGGCCTCCCAGAGTGCTGGAATTACAGGCCTGAGCCACCTTCCCAGCCAAAAGAAGTCTTTCAAATAAAACTTTTTTGTTGTTTATTTTGAGATAGGGTTTCACTCTGTCACCCTGACTAGAGTGCAGTGGCATAATCATAGACTACTGTAACCTCAAACTCCTGAGCTCAAGTAATCCTCCAGTCTCAGCCTCCTGGAGTGCTGGTTGCAAATAAAACTTTGAAGGAAGTGGTAAACTAATAATTTCAAAAGGAAGTGAATATAAGGAAAGAAAGATGAAGAGAGGGGTAGGAAATTAATTTGAGTTAGGAGCTCAGGAAGGCTTCCCTGAGGAAGTGACATTTAGGTTAGAGACCTGAAGGAGGGTTAAGAGTTAACCATGTGTAGAGCAGACTCTAGCAAGTTGGAGGAAGTGAAGAGGCCCCTGGGGCTTGGAGGGGGTAGGGAGCGGGATTAGTCAATGAAGACCTGGGCCAAGTCTGATCTCTGGGCCTTGAAGGCAGAATGTGTACCCTCCTTAGTTTAGATTGTGTCTCCAGTGTAATTAGGAACCTTTCAAAGGTTTGAAGGAATGCTATGATGACATTTACATTTTAAAAGGTATCTGGCCACTGTGGAGGGAATGGACTTTGAGATAAGGAGGTTAGGCTTGGCTTTCTCTGAGTGGCCCAACTACCTGGTATGTTTGGAAAAGCCTCAAGCAGTGTGGGGGAGACCTTTTCCTCTGTGAGTCTGCCTGACCAAACTTTTAGGAAGAGGAAACTGAATTAGCATTTATGGAATACCTACCAGGTGGGATACCTAATTTTAAAGACTCTTGCATACATTATTATATTTAACTTAATCCTGAATATACCCTAAGATGAAGAGTTTATCATACCCATTTTACAAGGAAACAAGCGTAGAAGGGGTTGATAATTTAACCAGTCACATTAATAACATACCCTAGATTCAAGCCCAGGACTGCCTGATTCCAGAGCCCATTGGATCTGGAGTCAGACCACCAAAGTTTGCATTTTGATTCTGCTACTTTCTAACTCAAGATCTTGAGTTACTTAATCTCTTTTGTGCCTCAATTACCTAATCTTAAATGTAGGTGAAAGTACCTACCTCATAGAGTTGTACAGATTGAATTAAGCCATGTAAATGGTTTAGCACTTATTTAAATGTTAATTGCAGTTATTTTTAAATATTTGAAATATCCATGTTGCCTCTCAGCCACATTGTAGTCATTTTGGATGAAATTTACATTCTTGAATTTTGTATCCTATCTTGTTTTTTCTCTCTCTCTCTCTCTCTCTCTCTCTCTTTTTACTTTTTTTTTTTTTTTAGACAGGGTCCCACTCTTCATCCCCACTAGACTGCAGTGGTGTCATTGTAGCTAACTGCAACCTCAAAGTCCTGGGTTCAAGCCATTTTCTTGCCTCAGCTTCTGAGTCCTGGGACTACAGGGGTGCTCCACCATGCCTACTAATTTTTCTATTTTTGGTAAAGAAGGGGTCTTACTCTTGCTTAGGCTGATTTCTAACTCCCCACTGCAGGTGATCCTGCCACGTGAGCCTCCCAGGGTGTTAGGATTACAGGTGTGAGCCACTGTGCCCAGCATCCTTCTATTTTCTGTTAATAACTAATGGAGTGTTCCATATGATCAATCATTCAACATTGGTTTTCCATTTCTTGTTTACACTGTGTTAGAACTTGCAGGACATCTAGTGAGTTCCTTTACTTCGGGAGATCAGAGTATTCTGGACATGTCCGATATTTTAAAGAATGAGCTACAGGCTGGGCACAGTGGCTGTAATCCTAGCACTCTGGGAGGCCAAAGCAGGTAGATTGCTTGAGCTCAGGAGTTCAAGACCAGCCTGAGAAAAAGTGAAACCCCATCCATAATAAAAACAGAAAAATTAGCCAGGCATTGTGGTGGGCACCTGTAGTCCTAGCTACTCAGGAGGATCTCCTGAGCACAAGAATTTGAGGATGCTTAGAGCATCCTCTACCACAGCACTCTACCCAGAGCAACAGAGTGAGACTCTGCCTCACCCCCCCACCCCCCCAAAAGAGCTACAGTGTACTTAAATTCACGAATTCAGCTGTGGTTAAAGAGCTGTTGGGAGCAGTAAGAACTAAATGCCTGGGTAAGAAGGGTAAGGTTTTGGGGAGGGAGAGGAGGTGACTTTTGAACCAGGCTTTAGAGAAAGAATAGGAGTTTTACAGGCAAATAAGACTGGGCAAAGGACATTGTAATTAGAGTTGTAAATGTGAAAGTGGCTCTGTTGTCTGGGGGTGAGGCTGAGAACCTATATTGGGGCTAAGAAAGGCAAGTCAAAGAGTTTGGGTTTTATTCTGTAAGCTTGAAGACTGTGACTGGTGGATGATCACTTGCCAGGTCAGGAGAGACATTAGAAATGTGTACCTGACTGTAGCCTGCTTGGGAGAATCTAGGCTGTGCCTCCTATGACAGCCTACTTCCTGATGATCTGAGGTGGAGATGTAATACATTTGAATCCTGAACTCCCCCTCTCCCAGGTTCATGGAAAAATTGTCACCCAGGGAACTGGTCCCTAGTGCTGAAAAGGTTGGGAACTACTGCCCGTGGGAGTGCTACCAGTGAGTATTAGATACGGCAGTAAATGCCTCTCACGGTGGGTGTTAGAGAGTAGAGCTAGATGTCATCTTGGGGCAGCTTTATTTCCGGCAGGGAAGGGTGGACGGTGGATCATTATGCTTTGGAATCTGTTTCTCAGCTTTATAGACCAGAAATTCAGTTTTGTGGAGCTCTCAGAGCTGATTGGGCTCAGATACTGACTCAAATCAAACTTGGAAGAGGTCGATGAATAAACTTAGTGTATTAACTGACCACGAGAAATGAAATTACAGAATGACAGATGTCTTGGTCCTCTGGCCATTGCTTCCCTGTTTCTGGTTAGGATTGGGACTTACTAACAAACACTTGCTCCTCAATTCCTGTTTGTTTCTCTCAGGCTCCTTGAAAATGAATTCTACATAATCTTTTCTCAAGTACTGTTTAGTATAGTCAACAATGATTATTAATTGATGGAATGAATAATTCTGTGTCATTTAGGTAGGATTCTATGTTTGTGAAACTCGAGGTAGAGAAAGAGTAACTTGGAAATATCAGAAAAAGAGGTTTCATAGAATTAGGTTAATGGCAAAGGTGTGCAGATTCTAAGTGGTTTGGGTAATTTTGTGGCTGAGCAGTGTT